GATAGGAAGGAATAAAGAGTTCCAGAAGTGGTAAGTATGTAACAAATATAAAAGGATACACACACACACACACACACACACACACACACACACACACATATACATATATATACATATGTGTCCCTAATTGTTTTCCTCCTAGTTTCTTCAAAAGATATGACTAAAGCAAAAATTACACTTTTATATTTGGGGATTTATAATATGTAAATTTAAGAAGTATACTATGACAACACTAAAGATTGGGGGTAGGTGGGTAAATGAAAGCATACTTATTCTAGGTTCTCTTGTTTTACCTGAAGTAATTCAATATAAACTCCATGTAAATTGTGATAAAAGTGCATACTGTAATCTCTAGAGCAACTATCAGAAAAAATATGACTAGAAAATAAGTTTCATCACCATTTCTCACTGAGTTGAAATAGCAATTTTATGATGTGCTAAATACTCCTATATCTGTGTACATCTGTTTCTGGACTCTTGTTCTTTTGCTCTTTGCCTTATTCCTGAACAAAACCCAAAAACTACATTGCTTTAAGTACCACGGACATATATTTGGCTTTTTGCTCTTTCATATGAATTTTTTAATCAGCTTGCCACATGCCATAAAAAAAATCTCATAGGGAATTTGATTCTGATTACATTTAATACGCAAAGTTAAATCTGGGGAGTGGTTAGAGATAAGACTTAGGAAAGTAGTGTCTCTGGGAAACCAGCGCTGCTGCCTGACGAGAGACAGTGAGTTTCATAAGCTCCTGCAGTCTGGCACTGAATTACACTCCAATGTTTACTGCCTGATGCTATGGAAAGTATTTAAAAACCTTTTTCGGATTCTATGAAATAGGAAGAGAAAGGCTACATAGGTAAACTTGTCCTCACCACAATTTTATCTCAGCCAAAAATTTGGTTGCTTTACCCGTTTTCCCCCAGTGCTATTTCCAGGTTGCATTTGTAGCTTCCTCAGATACCGCAGCGTGTGTGATCGTTATCTCTGTGGGGTAATAATGACCTGTGAATGCTCCCTGAAGAAAACGGTTCAAATCTACCGTGCAAAGTATATATGGTTCAACCAGCCTCTGGACCAAATGAGTATCAAGAACAACTTGGTAAATTAATAAAAGAAAGCGATAAAAATTAAGAGTGGGCTCTTTGGCCCTTTACTGCAGGTTAAGAGTATAATCAAGCTAACAGTGTCACTCTAGGTGAGGAGGGACCTGCAGAGGCCATCTTTATTCTCCTCTGGCCTCCATATGTAATTACATTCAAACCATTCTGTTTGGAGTTGCCCTATGCCAACCCATTGAATCTGCTAACCTTCTGGCTCCTCCACTTCTTCATGTTCTTAATTCCCATATTTTCAGCTGATTCTGTATCTGTGGCCATACTCATTTCTTTGTTCCTGTTTTCCTCCTTGGCCCTCATCCATCTGGCAAATAAACCATTTCTCTGCCTACTCAGCTGCACTCAAGCAGCTGAGCACGGTCCTTCTTTAAACCGTGATCACACATTTCAGAGTGAGCTCTCCGCCCTGGCAAACAGTATTATCAATTTGTCTCATCAATTATCTGGCCCACTTACCTGGTGGAGAAGATACAATTTCAGACTTTATCCTTTCTCTTCACACTTCTACTGCTCCCTGTGCCCTTTCCCTCATTCTCAGTTCACGGCTTCACCTTTTAAAAATTTTTAGATTTTTATAAAAAAAAACATGGAGTGGTTCATGACTTTGTATGTCATCCTTGTACACAGGGACTATGCTAATTTTTTCTGTCCTTCCAATTTTAGTACACATACTGCTGAAGCAAGCATATGGCTTCACTTTCTGTTCTGCACTGAGAAAATAGAAAATCAAAAGAAACACCAAATCCGTGAATTTACCCAGCTCATCATTTTTTCCCTCTATACTAGATCTCGTGTATCGACTTACAAATATACTGTGGCATCTCTGTTCTGGGGGGATTCCCCCCTCGAGTCCATGATCCCTTCGTTATTGCATATGCATCTGTTCTGCTTTAGGGTAAAACTCAGTGCTTCTGTCTGCCTTCTCACCTGCAGTCGTCTCCTCGGGCCCCTTTGGCCTGCGTCCCTTACCACTCCACTGCAAAGGCTGGTCGGTCTGTCCAATGAGATTCATATTAATGCACCTAATTTTAAGTGCTCAGTTTCCATTAAACTCACCGCAGCAGAATTTGAGACAGATGATCACTCCCTCTCTCTCTCTCTCTCTTTTTTTTTTTTGGTGAAGATTTTATTTATTTATTTGAGCGCATGAGAGGGGGGAGGGTCAGAAGGAGAAGCAGGCTCCCCATTGAGCAGGGAGCCCAAATTTGGGGCTCAATCCCAGGACCCTGGGATGGACCCTGAGCTGAAGGGAGATGTTTAACCAACTCAGCCTCATGTTGTTCCCTCCATCCGAATGCCAGTCCTGACCTTATAAGCTGTTCTTGTGTCCTGAGTGTCAGCACCTGTCAGCGGCTCTGTGAAAACAAGTCCCGCCTTGTGCCTAGCACACGCACCTGTCTCTGTTCAGGACTCACAACTGCGCTCGTAGTTTTCCTTAGACTATGCGCTCTTCTTCATACTGACCGTTGCTTCCCCAGCATCTCAGACTCTTCCTGCCTCGTAAATGTTTGTGGAATGAAGGAGTGAGTAAAGAATACAATGAATCCAACTAAACTAGAGCTGGATAAGTCACAAGAGTACACGCGTACCTCGGGGATGGTAGAGTAGGTGCTCACGGCACGAAAAACAGAGGCGGATATTTTTTAAGCTGCTTTTGTGTCCTTTAAGGCAACTCCATTGATGATGATGACCCCCGTGAATGGTACCAGTGCACAAAGAAATGCCACTGTCTTAAGTGGTAGGATCTCTGTGTGTTTTAAGCATCGGGTTTGTAGGTGAACTAGAGGTGAGTTCAAAGGACCTGAGAGATGCTTACTGAACATCTAGAGAGAGACAGGCAGTTGGTGGTATGGATCTCAGCAGGAGGCTCTGGTGTGAAGACAACAATCTGGACGTCTTTGAAAAGTATAGGGAATGTTACCATGGGGTGGGATGAGCTGAGAGAGTAAGTGGGGGCAGCAGAGGCCTAGGTTCTTCTTTTTTTTTTTTCCTCAAAGATTTTATTTATTTATTTGACAGAGAGATCACAAGTAGGCAGAGAGGCAGGCAGAGAGAGCATGGCCACCCAGGTGCCCAGGGGCCTAGGTTCTGACATACTTCAACACTTAGGAGAGAAGTAGCTAGCAAAGGACAGGGGAGGCTATAAAGAGATGAAGAGGGAAAGTTGTATGCCAGACATATACAAGATTTGATGGAAGACTGGGGCGCCTGGGTGGCTCAGCTGGTTAAGCATCTGCCTTCAGCTCAGGTCATGATCCCAGGGTCCTGGGATCGAGCCCCGAATTGGGCTCCTTGCTCAGTGGGGAGTCTGCTTCTCCTTCTTCTGCTGCCTGCCACTCTCCCTGCTTGTGCTCTATCAAATAAATAAATAAAATCTTTAAAACAACAAAGAACCCCCCAAACAGTAGAAGATGATGGTAAGAGTTTTATAAAGCATGGGAGAGAATCTTAGACACCAAGAGGAAGATGTTTCAAGAGGGGTATGGTCAACTGTGCTCAATTCACGGTTAGAGCAATGTAGTCCTGCATTCGACATGTTACTGTGTTTTTAACAGGCTAAATTATAAATAGTTTAAAATAAAATATCTTGTATTTAATGGAAATATTCATTTTTTCATCATTTACTTATTTCATGTGCTAGGATTATAAGAGTACAAATGAAGAATTTCAGGAATTAAAGTGTAGTCCCCATTGTTAACTTTATACAACACAAAGTCAGGAAAGAAGACACTGGTTGCTAACTACACGTGCCTTCCTTTATAAGTTGTTCAGTCTCTTGACAACTCTGCGAGTTAGGTGGATGGGTTTTATCTTGTGTGCTGCCTCCAGTGGATTGAATTGGTAATGTCACCTTCAAGCTATGTATTGATAAAAGTCCTGCGCTATGTCTGGATTCAACTACTAAGGGGGCTGTGATCAGTTATCCAGGATGGCCAAGGGTGTGGAGAAATGACAAATACATCTCTAACTTATGTTTATTTGTCCTCCTTTTACAAATGTGGAAACTGGAGTCCAAAAATAATTTCCCCAAGACCATACTGCTTATAAGCAGTGAAGTGAAGATTTGAAAGCCTGTAACTTTTCACAAATTGTTAATAGACCATTATGGACAGAGCAGTTTTGCTAGTGAACAGAGAGAAATGACCTTCTGAGCATCTTTGAAAAATTTAAAAGTAAATTCCCAATCTTTATTTGATAGTATGTGAAATTTCCTTGTAAGAGGAGACATAATAAATAAATAAATAAATAATAAAGCCCATAAGGAATAGATAAAATTATAAAACTGATCTCCAAACCTCATAGCTCAGTTTATTCTTTATCTTCAAACATGCATAAATAAATATTGATACACATCAATTATGCAGGCATTAAAATAATAATATAGATTATATTTATTGACAAGGAGAAGGACATTCAAAATACATTGTTAGGAGAAAAAGGATATAAAAAACATATATAGTATGGCCCTACATTGAAAAAAATGTACACACACACACAAATATATATATAATTTTTTGCATGGGGTAATACATGGAAGCATATACTTTAAAATAATAACCAGGGTCATATTTGACAGTAGAATTTGGTGATCCTATTTTGCTTATTTTCTAACTTTCCCCATGGAATAATTTTTTAAAATAAAGGAAAACATTTTAAAACAAAAGTGTTATTGACAGTCAATATTAGCAAGGAGGGGGTGAAAAGAAATTTTGTGTTTCACATAAATGTAAAAATGACTACTGCTATCCTTTAAATACTAAAAGGATAGATATTATTAAAGTATAAGTATAGAAATATATTATTAAAATATAATTTTAATTCTATCAAATAATCTGTTAACTATGAGATCTTTAAAGACCGTGAATAAAACAGTAACTTACAGCATCTGTAGGTGTCCCCAGCCCATCATAATACATCACTCCTAGCTGGTAAGTTGCTTGATGGTCTTTCTCCTTGATTTCTTCAAACTGTTCTAATGCTTCTTCATACCATCCCTGAAAGCTCCCAGGAAATATTGAATCATTTTCATTATTACCTTAAAGTAATCCCAAATACTTAATTCCCACCTAAATCTGGCTAGGAGCACCAAATATAACAAAAGACGGCAACACATTTATGGAATTTGCAAGTATGGCATCGACAGTAGTCAGCACACTATAAAATCAATTAAATAGATGTGAATATGGCAACTGAGGGTAGTGACCAGGAAGAATCTGGGTGAGATTTCTCTTTTCCTTTCACTCTTACTTTCGGATATTGCCAAACTTCTCTTGAAATGATAGCGCAGCCCTCTTCAATCCATCCTACTATATACCCTCACCACTTCTGGAGTCTGAGAAACTTCAGAGCTGGGGCCAGAGCATCAGAGAAAATGTGAACATCAGGATATTCACTATCATTAAATATCCACTACTTGGATGGCTCATGTCCTCCAGGGTTGCAGTTCTCCAGCTAGGGAGAAGACATGGAACAACAAATGTGATTCTCTAAAATTATCTTTCTCCCATGCTTCCTTTGGAAACCTACATGTTTTAAGGCTCCTCAACAGTGCTATGATCTGATGCTATGGTGTGAGGGACTAATGGGGCTAATATCTTACTCCACAAGGGAAAATGTCTTGCACTAAAGACTGAATCCTTTGTAATCATGGAAAGAAAGTCTGTAACTAAACTGGAAAGTTATTACTTAGGGAGAGCAGACCAGAGAAAAGCAACTTCTGGAAGGCACAATAGCAACTGAAATCCTTTTTTCATAAACTATAATGAATCAACAAATTGACAAAACCAATTAAAACTGCACCAAAATACTAAGAAATACTGATTTTAAAGAACACATAATAATGAGTTAATAACCTAGCTGTTAAGACTCATTCTCGTTTCTGGCTAATGATTGGCCTAGATGTGACGGAGCTGGAGAAGTTAGAATATGCTATAGGAAGAAAGAGAAAGGAGGTCCTTTTAGTTTTCATGATTTTTAATACCATCTACATGCTGGAAAATCTCAAATATATATTTTCAACCCAGACTTCTCCTTGGAGACCTAGACTCTTAATGTGTAAGTTTCTACTTTGAAACCTGTCTACATGGATGACAACGGACATCCGAAACACCATGTGTATGAAACCTGAACTCTTGACTATCTTCTCAATAGTCACCCTCCCCATTCCTCTACTTTTCAGTCCATGATGCTATTATTTGTGTCTCCAAAGTAAATCCAGGACCCAGCTTCCACTGCGCCATTCTGGTCAAGACCAGCATCCTCTCTTGCCTGAATTAGTATGATTTTCCCCTAAACTGGTCTTGGTTTCATGCCTGCCTTCTAATCTGTTCATCATGGACTCAAGACACTTGAGTGTTTTCTTATTACAATTTAAACAAAGCTCATCTAAAGCCATTCTCTGCCTTGCTTGTTACCACATTGGTCTCAATTTCTAGAGCTCACAGAGCACGCCCTCATCTCTGAAACATTGCATTTTCTCCCCTTTGCCTGGAATGCACTTGCACTGGGCTGTTTGCACTGCTCGCTTCATTTTCTTCAAATTAGTTTCTTTCTTTTTTTTTTTTTTAAGATTATTTATTCATTGGAGAGAGCATGAGCGAGCGAGAGCAGGAACAGCGGGGTGGGTGAGAGGGAGAGGGAAAGCAGACTCCCTGCTGAGCAGGGAGCCCGATACAGGGCTTCATCCCGGGATCCGGAACCATGACCCGAGCTGGAAGCAGACACTTAACCAGCAGAGTCACCCAAGTGACCCTCTTCAAATTAGTTTTAACCACAGGTCTTTCCACCCTCTCCCTAAGTTAATCTCTTAACTTACCCAGTTAACTGCTCTCATAGTACTCCTTCTTATTTGTAATGATGTATTCATTTATTTCCTCCCCCTAGTAGACTAAGTTTCATGAAATGGGGACTATTCTGGTCCCCTCGTCATGATATAGTCTGAACTTAGCATAATAATAGTGAACACCTATAAAAAACACGTATTAGGTGCCAGGCCCTGTTAGTAATACTTCTGCAATGAATACATCCTTACAGTGGCTCTAGGAAACACACATTATCCCCTTTTTACAGATGAAGAAACTGAGACTCTAAGAGGTGAAGTCTTTGTGTCCAAGGCTACACAGTTAACAAGTACTAGGAATCATACTACCTGACCTGATGCCCCAAGCTGAGATCATTCTCTTAACCGATGCTAGCCTCACGGTGACAGGTGCATGATGAGCCCTCAACAAATATTTGTCGTCAGAAGGAAGGATGGGGCCATCAGATTTAGGGGTAAGTGGGATGGAGGTTAACAGCTGCCCAAATAGTCAGTGAGTGGTGACGGGATTGGGGACAGCTGGTCCATTTCCACATGTCCCCGTGGGGGTCCATGAAGGACTGCTATTATATATATTATATGTTTTACACAGTTTCGCCTACATCTGCGCCTCAGGATGCCTCAGTGTGATGTGGAGAAAGAGGGCAGCTACCCTCCTACCTCTGGAGAGGAACATATGAAGCCTCTAAGTGCTAGGTAAGAATCAGGGTCTTTAGTTGTTATTCATATAAAAAGAATTTATAAATGATATTATTTGGGGCAAAAATATAAAAGTGATATTTTTAATTTCTAATGTGAGAATGGATTATATACCAGAATGACTCCTATAAATGACTTTCATTAGAATGACTTTTATGGAGGAAGGTCAAATATCTCCTTAATCTTGTACTTAAAGCCATAACCATACCTATGGAATTTACCAGAATTCCCTCTGCATAAAGGAACTCTACAGGAAATTTTGCAATGAGGATCTAACAACAGCATTATATGAAATGAAAAATGGGAAAAATGAAATAGAAAAAAAAAACAGAGAGGGAGGTAAACCATAAGAGACTCTTACCTCTATGGGACAAACTGAGGGTTGCTGGAGGGAAAGGGGATGGGGGGGATGGAGTAACTGGGTGAGGGACATTAAGGAGGACACATGATGTAATGAGCACTGGGTCTTCTATGCAACTGATGAATCTCTAAATTGTACCCCTGAAACTAATAATATGCTATATGTTAACTAAATTGAATTTAAATACATTTTAAAAAATGAAAAAAAAAACCCAAGCAGGAAATAATACCTCTTCAAAATATAGTTGGCCTCGGAGGAAATATGCCATAGCATCCCCTCTTCTTATTCTTTCCTTCAAGAGCTGCAATGCCTTATCCACCAAATTCTCATGGCTGTAACGATCTGGTTTTAAAAAGGTAAAGAATTCCATCTTTATCCCTATGATACGAATTTCTACTCTTGAAGTCATGAATTATATAGAACTCATCTGGCACTGTTTATACTAGTTTCCTTCCTGGTTCTCATTTATAAAACTGGCCTCCTTAGCTCAAGGGAAAAAGATGATGACAGCACCTAACACTGCACCAGGTATAATCATAAAATATGTGTTGATTGGTTTCCAAGCCCACCTGGTTTACTAATAGGAGCTTGAGCACTGCAGTCTGTGTGCAGTTCCTTAGGCAAAGCTACCCTGTGGATGAGTGAAATTCTTAATTTGAGCCTTAATTAGATCTACTCTAACTAAATGAGCTAGTGCCATTCCCAATTTAATATTTGTAAATCTATGGAAACAAAATGGTAGCTTTCAATGCCGATTTGAAGTAAAGTGTGGCATTGTATTCTTTAACAGAAGTGACATCTGGCTTCTCTTTTGCAGAAGGGTGTCCTAAAGTCTTCTTTAGGACAGAGTAAAATCAGGATTGGAATCTAATTATGAGACTTCTCCACTGAGGATTGGTTACCAGGTGAGCAGCAATTTCTCAGATTCCTGCAGGAAAGCTAGAAAGGATTGGAAAATTAACCAGTTCCTTCACAGCAGTTAAGGCTCCTATTTCTTGTCTTTTCTGCTCTGGTGTACAAAACTGACTTTTAGTGAGAATATGATCAGAATTTGTACCAGTCTTTTCCTTCCTCCATTGGAAGAATTTTGGGTTCTTAGCACCATACCGGGATAGAGAGGTATAAAAGGGGTTCTTGGGCAACTTTTCGCTGGTCAACTTCATCCTGTTTCCACAATGTGTATTCTGTAAACAAGAAAAAAAACAAAACAAAAAAAAAAAAAAAACAACAAGATGGTAGAAGTGTCTTCCTCCAGAAAAAAATGCAAAAAGATCCCACTCTCAGTTGGCACTCATAAAATGCAGCCTCCCCAATTTGCCTAGGGATGGGGCAGCAAACTACAAGCTCAGGGATGTGCACATTCTTTCTGAGGAAACCAGGGCCATCTATAGCCTGGAGAGGCACAAGCATCCTCCATTCTGTTTTCACAGTGTGGGATGAAAGAGGAGGCCATTGGCAAGTCCTCGCTAGCTGTGAGTTCACATCTGCAGTGGCTTGTGACATCACGACACCTGCCACTAGCAGGAACCGGGAACCCTGCCCATAGACAGAGGTCTTGTGCACTGGTATTATGCCTCCTTACTGAAGCTCATGGCTCTCATTCATTTCAGACTAAAGCATTTGTCTGTTTTACCTGGGAACACACTTTATTTCAGCTGTGTTGTTCAGTTTTATCTTCCCGTCTGCATTGGATTGCCATGTTATAAGATGGATCAGAATCGAACGGACAATCAAAGCCTTCATATAAAATGTAGAGGCCACCTCATTGGGGATGAAGGAGTCCAGGTTGGCCCAGGCTGAGGGTAGTGAGACAGCAAACTCAGTTGTTGCTATGCTTTTTTGTTTACTCCTTGGTGTTCTACTGTTATAGCTGACTCCAACCAATCAGGGACAGGCTTCCAGTAAAGGTTCCTGATTGGTGGTGAGGAAAAGAACTCAAGAGACCTTTAACGTGATTGGAAAGCGGCATTTATGCTATTATGTGAAACGATTTTGGGCAATAAATTGTTTCATTAATAAGAATGAAGTGCCGAAAAGGGAGATGATTCAGTATCGGGGGGGGGGGGGGCCACTGCAGTATCTTCATCATTTTGAAAGAGGCATTTAATCTTTTAAAAGGTCAACTTCCTCATCTGTAGTTTGAACTATTAGTTTGCACTAGAGGATTTCCAAATGCCTGTTGCTAGATATATAAAATTTTTTGATTATATGATTCCCAAACCCTTTGTATCAGTGAATGTTAAAGTTTCCAGTGAGCTTTGAGGTGAAGCAATAATAGGTTAAGTATGTAGAAGAAAACCGACTCAAGTAGAGTATTATCAATTTACCGAGAAACTGGTTACAGAAGTTTTCATTTTTCTGAAGACATCATCCTGTGTGCTATTGTATCTAAAACGGCTCAGAAAAACCTTGGCATATTCAGGAAGGTCATCGGAGATGAAGCAAGTGGAGAAACATTTCCCTACCTTCTTTGAACTCATGTTGCTCTCTGTGGTTACAATACTGCACAGGGTTTTTGTTGTTGTAGCTTAAAAGAAGCGTTGCAGGGGGTCTAGAAAACATAAGCAAAGATTGATTGAGCTCTCTTAAATGCCAGGTTTGTTCTAAGTGCTTCACAGGCAGTAACTCCTACAAAACTTTATGAGATAGGAGCGATTATGAGGCCCTTTTAACATATGAGAACACGGAGGAGGTTAAGTAACTTCCCTAGGGTCCTAGGGCTAAGACGTGGGACAACTGGGACACCCCAGCACCCCTGCACCTCATCATTATTCTATACTATTCTCCCAAAACTGATGATCTTTCTAAGTGCCACGACTCCTGTAAGAGAATACACCAAAATTTGGTACTTCATAATTTTAGAAAATGAGATCTAAGAAGATTTTAAAAAGGAAAGTCTGGGTTTATTTCTGTCAAATCTTGGGGTTAGACATAAAATCATCATTTGAAACTCGACAACTGTGTGCGGAGCATGCTGTAAGTTTAACGAATTCTCTAATAAAAATTGTAGACATTAAAAGATGATATAGAATCTGAAAGAAATCCACAGTCTTAAAGGGAAGTGTCAGTGTAGTAGATGCTGATGGTGCCCGTCCCAGATCCTCGTTACCACTTAGTGCCCATCCCCAGCTGCTGGCAGTATTAATTGAAAACAACTCACAGCTGTTCCTTCTTCCTCTGTCCCCCTGCCAAACATGAGTCCCCTCAGTCCTGGACACTTTGCTCCCTCCTTCTCAGAGACTGATCACTGGCATGAGCACTTGGAAGGCCAGTTCCTATGGAGAGACACAATCTGCCATGAGTCTTGAGCATTCTGGCACATCCTTGCTGGGTATGTCAAGAACACGGGCCATGACTGCTTTCCACATGGGCCATTTCTCAGGGTTGTGTTTGCAGTGAGTACCCTTGAGGGATAGGGTAATAACTCCCCACAGATAAAGAACAGGCTTGTTTCTCTGAGAAGTACTAAATCCTTCCCCCTCCTCCATTGCTTAGTTCTGTTCTCTTATAATGCAGCCTATGGAATATATGCATCTATCGCCGGTCCTTTGTATGACCTCTGTGGGAATTAGGGGTCATAGGGAACCAGTTTCAGCAGCATGCGGACAACTCTGGCTATTGCTTTTACTATGAGTGAGAAAGTCATTTATCTCTGACCCAGGAGTGTTGTGTGTTCTGCCAAGATCCATGCAACACGTTGCTTGTGAGTTATAAGTAGACTAAAATCTCAGGCCTGCACAATTCTTGGTACGCCTTTGCCTCAAGGTGAGATGAACTCAGAAATATGATATGTTCTCTGTGAGATCAGAATGAAGCTAGTTGCCATCTGAGCCCACATTCCTACTTAGCATTCCCTCCTTGCCACCAGATGGTGCTTCTTTTATTTCCCTTTTCCTGAGAGTTACCACCACCCCCGCGCCTCCCTGCCCCGGCCTAGCACTTGAATAAAAATCCCTGGCTCAGACTCTGCTTCTAGGGAAACTGACCTAACAATAGAGATATATGGAGGAAGAGGTATTTTATTCCTATTTTTCTTTCTTTTTTTTTTTTAAAGATTCTATTTATTTATTTGACAGAGAGATCACAAGTAGGCAGAGAGGCAGGCAGAGAGAGAGAGAGAGAGAGAGAGAGAAGGAAACAGGCTCCCTGCTGAGCAGAGAACCCGATGCAGGACTCGATCCCAGGACCCTGAGATCATGACCTGAGCCGAAGGCAGAGGCTTTAACCCACTGAGCCACCCAGGCGCCCTATTCCTATTTTTCTAAAGTCATCAAAATAAAGGATAACTTTCCTTCCAATAAAATTTTAGACACAGTATACTGTGGATAGTATGTACAGTATATGAATATTTTGATAAAATAATACATGATTGATAAGAGGACTAAAATTAGCCTAATGATGAATAACCTTATTAAAATGCTGGATGACGGGAAGGAAAGAATGATCTGAGAGTAGGGGACGTCCATAGAGATGGAGACAGAAGTTACAGCTATTTCTCTGTCAGCAGAGTGGAGCCAGACAGAATTGTAGGAGAGAGCTGAAGCCAAATGAGTATTTCAGGCACGCTGGGGCTCCTCTGTGGTTATGCCTTAGCAGGGATTTGAATTTGAATGAACATAAATACAAATGATAAACGTGAAAAGCCAGGGGAAAAAGACAACAAGTGTTTAGAACAGACTAGATTGTAGTACTGCAAGTGAGAAATCAGTAAGTCTTAATGATAATGCCGCAAGACTTCGATTTAATTTTTAAAAACTTAAAAATGAAAAACTAAAAAACTGAATAGATTCAAAATAACTTTTGGATATATGTGTAAAGAATGAAGTAAAATAATACGATCAACATCCATTGCCTGCCATTTTAATGTTTAAAAGATCCATTACCTTTAAGTCTCCTGTAGGCCCCTCATTTAGACCTCACCCTTCCTCCCCTCTCAGCCGCCCTACCCAAACACTCCCTATTCTCCCCATAGGCGACTTTTTCATGTTTCCTAGCTATTTGTGTTTTCTCTTCTGCTAGTATCTGCCTTTGTGACATTTGTCTTGTTGAGTTGTAGTCCTACATATGTCAGGTGTGTCTCTTACAAATAGGCTTCATTTAGATTCGTTGATTCTTTGTTATAACCAGGCTGATAACCTTTGATTATTACCGGTACATTTAGTTCTTTTACATTTATTTTAATCACTGTTGAATTAGAATGATTCTGTACTTTCAATCCATTTGCTTTATTCATGTTTCTTTTTTTCTTTTATTACCTGTTGTTGGATTTATTGAACTGACTAGCTATTTATTTTGCTTTGAGAATGTTGAACTTCCTGAGTCGTGGGTTGGTGTCTTTGAATAATTCTCAGACATAATGTCTTTATGTTAGTTTCGGGTTCCTAAAGCTCCTGTAACAAATTACCACAAACTTTGTGGCTCAAGACAACAAAAATTTAGTCTTTCATAGTTCTGGAGGCTGTAAGTCCAAAATCAAGGTGTTGTCAGGGCCATGGTCCCTCTGGTTCTACGGAAGAAACCATCCCAGATTTCCTTCCTAGCTTCTGGTGGCTGCTGGCAATTTTTGGGGATCCTAGGCTGGTAGCTGTGTCACTCCATCTTGATCTCTGTCTTCACATGGCCTTCTTTATGCATCTCCTCTACCCTGTGTGTCCTCTGCTTATAAGGACACCAGCCCCTGGATTGGGGCGCACCCTAATCTAGTATGACCTCAACTTCACTTGATTTTTTTGTAAAGATCTTTTTTTTCAAATAAGGTTACATTGACAGGAATCAGGTTTTATAGGACTTTGATTATATCTTTTTGGAGAACACAGTTCAGCCTACTACATTCTTCAAATATGGCTTCTGCCCCATTCTATCCCTCTTCTCTTTTCTGGCATTTTACTTAAACCTTCCTCCCATATTTCTTATTCTGTTTTTCACATTTGCCATCTGTTTATCTCTTTTTGCCACATTCTAAGTAATCTCTTCAGCACTCCTTCCCATTTTATTAATCCTTTCTTTAGCCACATCTGGTCTGCTGTTAATACTTAAAATCTTAATATTAGATATTTAAAAATTTTTTATTGAAGTGTAACATAAATACAGAAATGTATATGTAAGTTTCCAGGTTGATGAATTTTCACGCAGATCAAGAAAGAGAAAATTACGAGCACCCCAGAAGCCTCCCTAGTACTGCCTTCTAATTATTACATAAACCTCCATGTAAATACAATATTGCGTAAGTGATTTTTGCATGCTTTGTATACCACATAAAGGGAATCATTCACTGTGTATTATTTTGTGCCTGGCTTCTATTGTTCAACATGGGGGATTCATCCATTTTGTAGTGTTAGTTGTAGCTTTCTCCTTCTTGTTGCTGTATAGTATTACATTGTGTGAATATACCATAATCTATCTCTTGCACTTGATGGACTTCCGTTTTGGACTTCTGAGAACAGTTCTTCTATGAACATTCTTCAGCCTTTTTTTTTAACCCCGTAAACATCTGTATGCATTTCTCTTGGGTATAAACATAGGAGTAGTAATTCCTAGGTCAATGGGTATGCATGTTCAGCTTAATTGCCAAATAGTTTCCAAGTGCTTGTGCACCAATTACTTTTTAAAATTAAGTGCTTGTTTTGGATCTCTGGTGGTTTAGGTAATCTATGGTAAGATTCTTGGTTCATTTGAGTTTTCTGTTGAAATCACCTATTCAGTTAGGGCAATTTATCAGAAGTCCTGGTTAAAAGTTTTTAGTAGTCTTGACTCCAACAAGTCTGAGACGGCCTTCAATTCAGGACTTGTTCATCTTGTACAGCTGCAAGTTTGTACCTCTGTCTAACACCCCGCCATTATTCCCACCCCAGCCCCTGGTAACTGCCATTCTACTTTCTGCTTCTGTGAATTTAACTATTTTAGATCCCTTATGTAAGTGGAATCGTGCTGTATTTGTCCTTCTGCGTCTGGCTTATTCCACTTAGCATAATGTCCTCCACGTTCACCTGTGTTGCAAAATTGGCAGGATTTCTTCCTCTTGAAAGACTGGATGATATTCCACTACATATAAATGCCACATTTTCTTTATCCATCTGTCAATGGACTAAATGTCTTGGCTTTTGTAAATAATGCTGCAGTGAACATGGAAGTGCAAATCTTACTTTGAGATTCTAATTTCATTTCAAAACATTCAAAAGTAGGTTTGCTGGATTATTTGGTAGTTCTAGTTTTAATTTTCTGAGGAACCTCCATACTATTTTCCAGAGTGGAAATTTACATTCCCACCAATAGTGCAGCAGGGTTCTCTTTTTTTCCACATCCTCACCAATGCTTGTTGTCTTTTGTTTTTATGATAAAAGCTATTCTTAATCTCAGGAAACAAACTGAGGGTTGCTAGATCGGAGAGGTGTGGGTGATGGGGTGGCTGTGTGATGGACATTAGGGAAGGTATGTGCTATGGTGAGCGCTGTGTAAGACTGATGAATCATAGACCCATACC